AGCAGTGTTTCCCAAAAACCACACCACCATCCATCCTTTCTTCCATCTGTCCATCCAACTGTCTGTCCGATAGTCAGTCCATCCATCCATTTACCATCCGTCTGTCCATCCATCCATTTATTCATCAATCAGTCCTTTCATCCATCTGTCCATCTATCAGTCCCTCCATTCATCCACTCATTTATCCATCCATTCATCTATCCATCCATCTATCCATCTATTCATCCACCCACCTATCCATCCATTCATGCATCCGTCAATCCATTATTCTATCTATCCATCTGTCCATCCATCTATGCATTCATCAATCTATCTATCAGTCCATTCGTCCATCCATCCATTCATCCATTTATCTATCCACATATCAGTCCATTCATCCATCTGTCCATCCATCCATCCATTTATCTATCTATCCATTAACCTATCTATTATTCTATCCATCCATCTACCCATCCATCTATTCATCCATTCATCCATCCATCCATCCACCCATCCATCCATCCACCCATTCATCTGTCCGTCCGTCAATCCATTCATCCAATGCCCAACATATATCTCCTGTGCCAGATCTGAGTTTGGTTTTAGAGATCTGGTGATCAATAAGATAAACCCGGCAGGTCTCCACCCTCACATCTTCAACCAGCCTGTGTTCTAGTGGTAGTGGCGCAGGCCATAAACAGGAACTCCCACACTTCAATGAGAGAGGTTATAAAGAATGCCTGGGAGCCTCTTTGCACTGAGTAGTGAGGGAAGCTTCTCTGAAGAAGAGGTTTATGGGGAAACTGAATGTGGGGCAGGATCCAGTACCTGGGGTCAGTGTCACGTGCACTCCAGGCAGCGGCCATGGCACACACAAGTCTTTACAGGGACTGAGCTCGGTATAGTCCAGGGTCAGCCAAGAGGCTACTGTCGCTGGACACTGAACAATAAAAGGTAGAGTGGGAGGAGCTGAGACTGGGGATGGGGTAGGAGCTGGGGTTGGGGTCTTTGCAGGGCTTGTGGCTTGGATGTTATACCAAGTACGCTGGAAGGATTTTAAACCTCTGGCTACTTGAAGTGTGGTCCCCAAACAAGCAGCATGGGCAGCACCTGGGAGCTTGTCAGAAATGCAAGTCTTGGGCCCCACCCTCCGGCCGGTGAAATCTTGACCATGTGCTCCTTGCAGGAAGATCCCAGGAGACTGGAGTCTGAGAAGCACTGCACCAGATCAGCCATCCCTGTACTGCTCTCCCAGGGACAGCCTCTGGGAGGACCTGCACTCCACCCACACTTCCCTGGCTGGCCCAAGCTGCAGCGCTTTTTAAGGGCTTTTCTAAGTGACTTCTTTATGCCTCTGCTAAGACCCCGCAGTCTACATGTCAGGCTTTGCTCAACCCTCCATGGCTTCTGTGGCTTGCGTGGGCAAGGCCACGTGGAGGAGCATGCCCCACACACTCGAAACCGTGACACCAACCAAGGAAGCATGTTGCTCCCCTCCTCACCCCCAGCTTCTTGCACCAAGTCAAGGGGGCCTGAGACTGAGCAGAAGGGCCCCATCACCACCACAAGAAGAAAGGGGCAAATCAATGGATCACCGTCAGAGCCAGGAGGGAGGAGCTGCTGATGCGGGGCCGTTAAATACAGGACAATTAGAAACACATTCGGCTTAGATTTCAGAGAGCCACTTCCAGAATGAAAATACCATACCTGTCATTAAAAATGTATTTATTGCAATTACACAGAAGGATTCTTAGGAGACTCTGTGTGCATTCATTAACTGTGTCTGTAATAGCCCCATTTAATATGTGCTCTCCAGAGGCGGGCACCACCAACCTTCCATCCACAGGGGCCTCCCACGCGGACAGAGGGTGGGGGCGGGAGGAGGCGGCATCTTGAAGAAACAGTGATGGCAAGCTCTCCACTCTCAACACGGACTTCCTGCCTGAGTCCCAATACAGAGGCTGAGGACAGGAGCAGGTAATGTGCAAAGGAGAAAACGTGAGTAGCAATTAACACGAAAAACTGCTCCTCCTCCCCAGGAAACAAAAAAAACTGCAAATCAAAACAATCATGTGGTTCCCTTCCTGCCCGCCGCTCCTCCTGTCAAGTAAGCAGGAGTTGGAAGTCGTCGGCAGGACGCAGGGCACTGGCCGGGTGGGAACGCACGTTCATCTTGAGGAAGAATTGAGTGCCACAGCACGCCAGCTGGAAATCCACTCACACTCCCTGGCTCAGCCATGTAGCTGATTCATCCCAGGGAACAAAATGAAAAGGGAAACTACCTGCTCACATTTCTTATGGCAGCATCAGTAAGGGAAGAGCTAAGTATTAGAGCGAACCAACTCCAGGGGCTCATACCAGCCATAAAAGAAATAATGCCCCAGACCCTGCCACTCCGTGGAAAAACTGGAAACTTTTTTTTTTTTTTTTGAGACGGAGTTTCGCTCTTGTTATCCAGGCTGGAGTACAATGGCGCCATCTCGGCTCACCGCAACCTCCGCCTCCTGGGTTCAGGCAATTCCCCTGCCTCAGCCTCCTGAGTAGCTGGGATTACAGGCACGTGCCACCATGCCCAGCTAATTTTTTTGTATTTTTAGTAGAGACGGGGTCTCACCATGTTGACCAGGATGGTCTCGATCTCTTGACCTCGTGATCCACCCGCCTCGGCCTCCCAAAGTGCTGGGATTACAGGCTTGAGCCACCGCGCCCAGCGGGAAACGTATTTTATAAATGATAAAAAGAATACAAAACTACATTCTGTGTCTCTGTAAATATGTTAGCATCAAAAAAGACACTACAAACAAAGCAAGTGATTGCTCCAGTGGGTGGGGACGGGGTGAACTTTGGTGGCATGACTAATGTCTCTGCATGCGTTTTTCATAAAGGGAAGAAACGTCTGCGTATAGAGACGGAGATGGGACGGGAACACGGAAATAAAATCTGTGGATTTGCTTTGGAGAAAAACTAGATTTGGATCATGTGCTGTTCCAGGAACATTTCACACATTTCCTCATTCAGTTCTCACGACTTCCCTCAGTGGCATTTTATCCCCATTTTACAGATATGGAGACTGAGGCTCCCTGGAGGAGAAGGAATCCCCCACCACCCCACCCTAGGAGCAGCTGAGAGTGGGTGGTTTGGCCTCTCAGCTGCCACCTGCTTCTGAAGAATCCTGTCTGGAGCCTGTAAGTGAGGGGTCTTGGGCCCCGTGCCACAGGGTCAGCCGCAGTCGGACCCACCCCACCCCCACCACAGCGGGACTCCTGCAAAAGTGAACTAAGCCAGCAGCTCTGCCATCTAACTGCAGATCACACCGGGAAAGATTGCTCCTCGTTCAGACAACGCTTCCGACAGTCTCATTGCCTCCATATCCAGCCACACTGAGAGGCTGCAGTGAGGGGAGGGAAGCAGGTGCTCTGGAAACTTCTCCAGGCAGATAGATCCCTCCATGCCAAGGAGGGCTGCACCCAGTGCCTGATGGACATGCCAAGTTGAGGCAAATCAGGTAACTGAGGGCCTTTGCTGGGAGGAAGAGAAGACTTGACCAACTCCGTCCACTCTGTCACCGAGGAACCCATCCTGAGACCCTCTGCCCAGCAGTGAGGGTGCTCTCCCTAGGCCTGCCCTGTCCAGGGATGTTGGCTCCAAGCCAGTCTTGGAACTTAAATTCTCAAAGAGCAGAGCGCACACTGTTTTCCGCTCCTGTCTGGAAGCAGGGGACAGTGCCTCGCCCGGCACTGGAGGAATGAGACATTTTGAAAGCAACCCACCAGCACATAAGGCAACAGGGGGCCGTGGCAGGGAACACCTGTCCTCTATGCAGGGATGTGACCCATTGCTCACCCCCTATTTTCTGGTGGTGATGATGGAATTAGAGGAGACCAGTGGGTCTGAGAGGTGGACCCTCACTGAGAGGTGCTTCTAGGAAAAGCGTTTCTGCTTGGGAGCAGGTAAGGACCCCTCAGGGGAATGTGAGTGTCTTAACCCCTGAGCTTGGCCTCCTCAGAAGCACAGATGACCAGGCCAGAGGGTTCCAGGCGATGCCATTCGACAGCAAAGAAAGACCCCAACTCGAGACACCATTTCAGCAACATTCCGGAGCGCTGCAGAAATCCCTCGGTAAGATCCAACAGAAAGAATCATCAAACCCCTTAGCTAAAAGCGAAGCCAAAAATGGAAAAGAAATCAGCTCCAGAACCTGATCAGCAGGTACAGGCATCTTTTTATGGATTTCAAATGGAAAAAGGAATTAATTATTACTTGAGAAACATATGTTGGCAACCAAAACGGTTTCACACCCAGAGAACGTGGTGGAGGTGGTAATCGGGGCATGGAAGAAAGAGAGTCTCTTGCAGGAGAAAAGCTCCGAAACCCCAGCCAGACGCAGGGAACCATCTGCACCTCCCCGGGTGAGTGGATGTGAATAGTGAAGAGGATGTTGACCAAAATGGGTTCTCAGAACCTCCTTCTCTCTCATCTCATTTAAAACATCAAAGGGGCAATCTCATGTTCCTGGGCTGAATTCACATTTCACACATAAAGAGATATCCCCCATCGCCAGTGGCTTATTTATTTACCAAGCTCTTTGGCTAAGCCTGGAAGAAAGAAACGCATCTAAACAATGTGGGTAATCAGAGCCTTTGGTGGACTCCAGGAGCTGCGTGTGAAGTTCTGAGCACAAGCAAAGCGAAATTGTGCACTGACCTGAATTCACAATGCAAACCCTCCTCCTTCGGGGAGGAAGAAAAGGAAGCGGGGAGAAAAACAGAAAGAAAAGAGAAGAAAGCCAAGATGCTTTCTCAACAGTCGTCTGCTTTGCAGTGCAGTCTGTACCCACTGCCCAAACTGTTAAGCTGCTTTCGACTTTTCCTTTATGCATTTTCTCGCCAAAGAAAAGTTGTGAGGCCGCCAACTCACAGGGGCTGTGACAGCGAGGCATTTGGATCTAGGTCCTCAGCTGAAAGTCTGGGGGGATGGCGCGCAGGTGCATGGGAGAAAGGTCTGCCATCGGGCTGACTTACCGCCACAGTGAGCTTTCCAGAACCTTCCCCATGTCTGCATGGTAGTACTTCGTCAGGATCAAGATCACCTGTGGTGTTAACAGAAAGTAAAAGGCAGAAATCAGTGGGTTCCAAGGTTCTCAAAGAGAGATGCAGTGACGCCACTCCCTGCCAGGATTGGGGGTCTCTAAACATCAGCCACCCAGGGGCCTCTCTCAGTCAGCATCCCTGGGAGGCTCCAGGGCACCCGGCACGAGCGCTTTTAGATGTGGGCTTGCTTCTGCTCTGAGAACTTGTTTGTGTTCTGCAGAATGACTTCGGGAACATCTGAGTCCAGTAAAATTCAAACAGCAGCTGCCATTTGTTGGAAATAATTCAAACCTACCCCTGGATGATCCCGAACTGTGGCAAAGGGAGTGGAGGGGCAGTGGTCCCTGTAACCAGGGTGCTGACCCCACCCTGGTGAAGATGGAGGCATGAGGATGGAGGTGTGAGGACGGAGTGTACTTGGCAAGGTTTCTGGGAATGCGTTCTGTCTCCACCAGCGCATTAGAGGATCCCCCAAGCCTGTTGGAAACAGCTGCCGGGGCTGCCACCCAAGACTAGAGCAGATCCCTATGGTCTGTCTGTCATTAGGTGTCCTGGGGTGGTGGCTGGGAGGCACAGCCAAGATACTGGGGGCCCAGGAGTTGTCGGTGGCACACACCCATTTTCGTCATTGAACCATTCATTCATTCATTCATTCATTCATTCATCATACACAGGGCCCTATCTAACAATGCTGTTGGCATTTCAGACCTGTGCAGGAAACGCAACTGTTTATAAAATGAAAATGTGTTTAGGACAACCTAATTATTTTTTGAAACAAGTGTGTAAATAAGAAAAGGCTGGGGGGTGGGGAATAAGGATGCACCAGCCCTGATGGGAAAAGGAGATTTTCCCAATTACTTCACCGGCTGCTGCGTTTCCATGTACATCAAATTTCATTTCACTCACTGCCAGTCTGTATCAGATGTTCCTAGCACTCCCGTGGCCAGAGGAGCCCCCAGGAGGTAAGATGGGAACAGCCATGGGGTTTGGAGCAGCTGTTAGCCTGGTTTTTTTGGGGTCATCACCCTGGTCATTCCCAACGGTCGGGCTCCTCCATGGGAGCAGACAGCTCCCTGCACTCCATCCTAAGCATCCATTTCCACAGATGGCAGCTGGGCTGACCTGCCTTTCTTTCCCTGGTGACTCCAACAGGGAAGACATCAGGAGGGGCTGTCGCCTGAGATAGGACAGTGTGCATCTTAGAGGCAGCGATGATTTTAAAAAGCCAGGCCTTGTCAATCAAGGCCAGATTGGCTATGCCACACTCAGGAACAAAGCGATTTCCTCTCGTCAGCTCACAGCCTGCCGTCGGAGCAGGGACCCTCTAAGGAGAGGAAAGGCTGACAGGGCATGGACTTTAGCCCGCTGGTTCATGCTTTATACAGTCGTGCTGTTCCCAGAAGTGCTTTTGTGCAGCCAGAGTGTGGCAGCTGGAGGGGACCTCAAAGTCTGTTTGATTCGGCCCCGTTTGGAAGGAAATCTGCAGCCAATCTGATCCTGGAGCAGCGAGATCCAGGCTCTGCCCTTGCCTCGAGGGGCACAGCTCGGCTCTAGAGGGTACCCTGCCCTTCTGCAGATGGCTAGGTTTGGGGCCCTTGAAGCTGGCTTCATGTCCCCGTCACTCCTGCCTGTACATTCCAGCTCTGCCACTGTGGATGGTCACCCAGTCACCCAGCAACACTGCCTCCTCCTCCCCCTCCGGCGAGGGGAGAGTCCCACCAGCCCACCCCCTCCTTCTGGGACCTTTGCCCAACACACTCCTCATCCTGGGACGCTCTTTCCCGACCCCCCAGCCCTATCTCCTTAGTGAATTCCTACTCGACCTTCAGACCTCAGTCTGACCCACACCACCCCCAGGAAGACCCCCCACACTGGGCTCAATGCCCCCTCCACACATGCCCCTCCAACCCCACTGGGCTCCTTGCAACCCCACACAGCTCACAAAGTCTGCTTCCATGACTGGGTGAGAAATCACTCAGGGTGGGGACCTTGTTTCTCTCCCCAGTGCGGGGCCCAGCACCTGCCACATGACAAGCACTCACACCACGCACTGGCGGAAACACGGGTGACTTTGCCCAAAGGAAGGATAATTTATGCACTGGGCCGAGGCCAGTGCCCTCCACCCCCACCGCCACCCTCCTATCAGGAGACTCTCTTTCCTCTCAGTGCTGGGGGCAGAATCACTCTACTGGCTTCAACCAGCCAAGCCGAATGGGACTGTGGGTTCCTCTGGGGTTGTCCCTGCCCAGGGCCGAAACAAGGAGGTCACCCAGGAAGGGCCAGCGCTGAAGGAGCCACACAGCAGGCAGCCCTACCACGCCCTGACTCTGCAGTCGTCAAGGAAAAGGACCCTGATGTGAAGTCAGACCGCTCGGGTCCACGCTCGGCCCTGACCTGACAACCCTCAACGTCAACACAACTCGGTTTCCCGGTCTGCGATGATATGATGGTGATGATTAAATATTTGGTAGCAAACACGACATGACCCATAAACCACAGCAGCTGCGGCGTTATGAATGATGACAGCTCACAGCCACTGGTCTCAGCCCTGCCACCCATGTGCCCGCAGTGACCACCCACCCCCCAACCCCCCAACCCCCCAGGAGCCCAGATTGCTGCTGCCCCCCACCTCATCCACCCGGGAGCCCAGGTCATTCTCCCTGTTTAACAGATGAAGAAACTAAGGCAGAGAACGCTTCAGTATTTTTCCAAAAACTCTATATTGAGCAAGAGGCAGAGCTGGAATCTGATCCCAACAATTCCACATCAAGCTCGGGCTCTTCTCTGCCACGCCGAAAGCCTGTGTTTTCAGAAGAAACTTCTATTAAAAGTGGTTTCAAAGAACTAAACTTATGACATGCCCTTCTGGGGTCCTCAGCTACCAGCTTTGGAAATGAAATATCCCCGGGAGAGTTTCTTCATTGGCTGGTGTGTTCACTCTGGGGTTCTTTGATCTGGGTGGGAGAAAAATCGGGAATGTGAGTCAGGCCCGCGCAGCCCCAGCCGCCGCCAAGGGCCTCCTCCCACCCAGACCTGAGCCGCAGCCCACAGGGATCCTTCCCAGATGGCCAGGAAGGTCCAAGCAGAAGACGGGGAAAGAAGAGCCACAGCAGGCCGCAGGAGGCTGGCCACTGCTGTCGCTCATTCCTGCGAAGGGTCCTCAGGATGCACACGTCACCCCCACGCCTCATCCTCCCCCATCCTGTCCTCCCAGCTGTGGGGAAGGCAGTGCAGGAATCTGCTCCCATTCTCCCAATGCCATTTTATCAAATGGGCTTGTGGGGGACCCAGGGCGCTGGCACCCAATCTGTGCTGGCTCAGCACATGACAAGCATCAGCTCGCCCAACTCTATCGCAGCATTACTGTTCTTACGGCTGAAGAAACTGAGGCACAGAACCGGTCAGTGACCTGTCTGGCATCACACTCAGCAGAGCCAGGAGCTTGTGTGCCCAGGCCTGGGGCTTTTATGGGTCCACACTTCATTGCTGCCCTCACCCCTCCATGATGTCTGCCTCCTAAGCATGGGACAAGCCGATGCCTGGGGTTACTCCAACGCACCGTCACCCAGGTCCAGCCCAGCAGCCCACACCCTGAAAAGTCAACTTGGGACCCCAGGCAGAGACGCCAGCCTCTTTGGAATCCTGAACCTGCCTGCCCCTGAGACTGCTAAGCAGTAAGCTCCATGACGGCAGAGACTCACCCACCCCTAAATCCGCATGGGCCCAGCACAGAGCAGAGAAATCAATCAATCTTTCCTTGAGTCAATCAATGAGTGGGTGAGTTATGAGTACACGAATGAGCGCCCACAGAGACGGGAGGCAGAACCTGTCCTTCAGGCCCCACCCTTGCAAGGGATGGCAGGTCTGAGTGAGGTATTGGAAGGAGGTGTGAGTGTCAGATTCAACCACAGAGCTCACAGGAACTCAGGATGCTGTCACCAATGCTTCACTTTAGAACTAGAGAAACTGAGGTACAGAGGAAAGAAAGGGCTTGGCGGGGACAGACCCTGGTCCTGGTACATCCACATCCACAGCCTGGCGCCCGCGTCCACTGCCTCTGGCTTTATTCCAGGGCAAGGCCTGCTCCCTCCCTGAGAGGGACTGAGGGTACCCTTCCGCAGAAGGAAAAGAACTTTGAAGCCCACACTCAGCTCATGGAGAGGCCCTAGACCGGCCATGGAGCCCCCGCCCTGATCACGGCAGCCGGCCCCACCGCCACTACACAACGCAATGCCAGCCCCTGTGCGGGACTCACAGGAGGATCCTCTGATCGATGCTGAGCCGTCCAACTTGCCTGGAGATGAGGGCCCTGGGCTACACCTCAGAGCTCTGGCAATGGGAGGGAGCCAAGGCTAACCAGTCTCAGTCCCGTGTGGCATTAACAGGATTTAACATGGCATTAACAGCCCTGGGGACTAGGGCTGGCCCAAAGGAAGTCTCAGCTCCAGGGCTGACGGGCCAGCAGCAGAGTCGTCAGCACCTTCACCTGCGAACAGCGTGAATGGGGAGGTCAATGCTGTCTTTACCAGGTGGTCCTGGCAGAGTGAGCACTTCTCAGACTAATTAAAATAAAACGGAGGGTGTGACACAGGGTGGCCAGGCTCACTGAGCCTCAGTTTCCTGATCTGAGAAATGGAGCCAACTCGAAGGCAGCTGGAGGGTCTCCCTATCTCTTTGTGTCACTCTACACAAACTTAGACCAGAAATCAGGACATAGATGCCCCGAGGGTCAGCCCCTCCTCCCTGAGAAGCCGCTGGTGCGTTTCCAAGCCCTCACAGGTCATGGTTTCTCCACCTGTCAAATGGAGTTGCTCCCTTCCAAAAATCAGCCAAGCCGATGGCTTTAGAACGCTCAGACATCATGAAATCCGTTCAATTCCAAACACCCTACTAACATGCGCTGGGAGTTTTCAAAATGCCGTTTCCATAAACGGGCCCACCAAGCCCCTCCCCAAACGTCAGCAGCATCCACCAGAAACAAGGTCAGCTCTGGGGGTCA